AATTTACGGAGGATTAAAAATATAATTCGGAAAACGTGATCGGATTCGCGGACGAGGAAATTGTTTTGAAAAATACATGAAACTGGATATAAAATTTTATTGTGAAGATACGTATAACAGGTTTAAAAGAACCCATGTTAAGTTTTTTGTGAATTTGATATAAACTAGGGAGAATGTAAAATTTCGCAAAGGAATTTATTTTGAATTATTTAAAATTTGTTTGGATTTGTAGTAGAGGTTTTGCACCAAATAGAGCAAGTATGTGAAAGAAGGCCTAATGAGAGTTTTATGTAACAAAATTCCGCAATTAATTCGTAATTTAGAGTTTTTATTTATTAAATGATATTACAATAACAACAGAAGATATAAAGGAAGAGGATGAAGCTATTTACAAAAATCGTATAACTCAAAACGGATTTGGTGTTTCTTTAGAAAACTCACGCTATTAAAAAGCAAGATACGTAATGCGGAAAACTATTTTTTGCTGAGAGAGACTTGCTTTGATGCTACGGTTTTGGGCCACAGGAGATACATACAGTTCTTTGTCATTTTTATATATAATTTCCCAGTGTACGATTTTCTGCAAAGAACAGAAATCCGCGGATCACACTGGAATCACGCACACTCACGCGACTTGGACGCAGAATGGCTCATTGAGCACGTGGGCACATAATATACCAAGAGAGCAAAAAGTCTTCAAATCCTCTTCGAATACTATTTATCTCCCAGGAGATACGATTCCCCATCGACACCAAAGTCACCGCTCTCTCGCGGAGGCGTCGAAAATCTGTGACGTCATGTCTTCGGGGAGGAGATCGCTATACTGAGAGTCTTTACGTGTTACCTAATCAGTTCCGGAAAGTTAGGAGAGAAAACTTTCCCCGTGTAAACACGCCTTTGTGAGATAATAGTATTTATTTTTATTCATAATAATTGAGAGAATAATATTTCTATCTTGACTCCGGATAATTTCCCCCCAAAATCCCTAAACATTAACGTTTCATTTTCATCCCCATTATTTCCCCACAGCGAATAAATCCCGTTTTGGTGGCAAAATTCCTCAATCTTGCAACACTGCCTCTACCTCTCCACGATTTGGCTGAATGTGTGATGACACAATCATGTGTGCTATAAAATAGTAATGCTACATAATTTGTGCTCTAAAATGCTCCATTATGAACGATTTCTTGTAACAGAACATATCATTTATAAATCTGGTTTACAAAAAATTCTTACAAAATTCGTCATTGAAATCGGAGTCCTATTAATGACTCACCTGTGCGCTTGAGACAAGTGTCCCGAACGTTTAACTGTTCTTTTTCAGGATTTCACCAGTTTTGCACAGAGTGGATTTAAACGACAATATTGCGGTTGAAAAGTCACTTTCAAGTTTCAAACCAAACTACATAATTCATTGTGCAGCTGAACGGTTTCCTGACAGAGTTCAGGCCGATCCAAACAAGGCTGAACAGTTGAATGTTGGTGCCACAAAAAATTTGGTGGAACTTGCTGGTATGCAACTTTTTGTCGAGTACATATTACCTTAATTAAACTATATAACTTAGAGATTTTTTTCAGACAAATTATCAGTGCCAGTTCTTTACATAAGCACCGACTATGTGTTCAACGGCAAATCTCCTCCTTTCAAAGTGAATGACATTCCAAGTCCAGTAAATCTATATGGGGAATTAAAACTTCGTGGAGAAGAAGCAACGCTGGAAACAAGTTCTCGTAATTTTTAGCTAATATCCCAAATCTAAATAATTATTGGCATTACAAACGTGTTCTCTCTGGTTCATGAATGGTTCTTTTTTATAAAGGAAATGCAGTTCTTAGAATTCCTGTTCTGTATGGTCCAGTTGAGAAATTATCTGAGAGTGCAGTGACTGTTTTACTGGAAAACTTATTGAATGCATCGCAGCCCCAAGAAGTTTCAAATTATGAAAAACGACGTCCTTCCCATGTTAATGATATTGCAGAGATATGCTTCCAAATGGCATCAAAAACACTGCAGGTTAGTACCTTGAGAGATTATGTGAAACAGGGCTGTCCAACTTGCAAGGCTCCAAGAGCCACATCTAAAACCTTCAATTTGGTTGCGGATCATTTTTTAATTAGTCGGGAGATGCAGCTCTCGGCAGAGCACATCTTGTTAGTCTCTGCAGTTGGCCCGGCTACTCTGAAACGGGGGGCGGTGAAACCACGCGTAATATCACGCTTTACTATACATAACAAAGTAGAACACGTTGGTATGATTTTGAATTTCTGAATTTACTACAAAAAATTCTTAAATCTAAACCTAACCTATTTTTGCATTAAAGTGGTGATGACCCTGACAGGGCGCGTGCGCTAGCGCACAATGATCTCGCTAATAGACATGGATGAAAGGGACTTTCACTATTGACTGACCTTTCGTGGGTCACAAATGACACCGCAGCCCGCCAGTTGGACAACCCTGATGTAAAATGTATAAAAGACCCTTTTTTTATTTGTCATTGAATTTCTAGGGAAGTAACATACAGGGCATATACCACTGGTGTGGGAAAGAAAAATTTACCAAGTATGAAATGGTTTTGAAAATGGCCGGCGTGTTTGAACTTCCTCATTCTCACATTACTGCAGCTGCTGACCCCCCTCAAGGGACAACTACTAGACCTTACGACACAACACTCGATACGTCAAGATTAGATGCCTTACACATTGGTCAGCACACCTCGTTTGCAGATGGCATACATTCTGCTTTGAAGGGATGGATCAAATAAATTGGAAATGTCTTTTGGGGTGAAAATATTTGATAATTTGAAATATGAAATACAAATGGGAGATTAAATATGATAAGGGTGATATTTTATGAAGATGCCTGTGAATGTACTAAAATGTCATTATGGCAGAACTGGTTTATTTTCAATTTCTTTTCAGTACATCAATAAAAATATCTTTTGGGACATTGATATTAGCAAGCATTCTCATTTTCTTCTTTCCTTCAGCTTGTTGTTTCAGCAATTTCTTCCTTCTCGTTACATCTCCTCCATACTAGAAAAGATAAAACGAAAGTATGTAATTATAGACCTGTATCCCTCACATCAGTAGTATGCAAAATAATGGAG